ATTATGCCTTTATCTTGAAAAAATAGCATGGCCTCAGTATTTACAAATTCTAGCCCATTGCCAGTTCTAACATCTTTGACTGAAGAATTGAACTGGTTTTCAATCATAGAAATGAGAGCTTTAATGGCTTGAAAGGTGTTGCTTTTACTACTTAGAAGATGTGTCCAGGTTGATCTGCTAAAGTCATCAACCATGGTAAGAAAATATGTGTAGTTATCATGTGTGGCTATGTGATAGGGGCCCCATAAATCTCTGTGTAAAAGTTCAAAGATTTTGGTAGTGGATGATATTTTCTAGGGAAATAGTAGTCTTGTGTGCCTTGCCATGGGCAGACAGAACAGAGAAAAGACTATTTTGGAGAAAATTAACAGATATGGTGTCATGGGGCATACAGAACAGAGAAAAGGTTATTTGGGAGAAAAATTAACAAGTATGGTAGATATCCTTCTCATTTTCATAAAGGGTATATGACCTAGTCTGTTATGCCACAGATGTTCAACATTGTCCCCATGAGATGCAATAGATGACAGAAAAGAATGTATACTAAAGGAGGACTCAATTTTATTTCTTGAATAAAGGTTATTACATTGTTGAGTGAATGTGGTGATCTATTTACAATTGACAATGAATGTAAAGGCAGATTGTGACTCTATCCTCTATTTACAACATCAACTTATGCAGGAAAACATGAATGGGAACAAATAGTTGAAGGAATAGAAGATACACTAGACTTTGGACAGCTGTGACACTTTGAGCATAGGAAGTACAAACCACTCCTTGCTTTACCAATCTCCAGAGGCCTCTTCATTGAAAGGGTCTGCATCATGCAAAGATATTTGCTGAATTAACTATGCAATTGAGATAGTCTGTTAAAGAGTGAATAGAGATGAGGTTGTATTTGAAACTAGATACATACAACACTCTAACTAAAGTTAACATTGGACCAAGAAATGCATCCCCAATTTCTGTCACTTTCACCCTATATCCATTAGGTAGTGTAACTAGAAAGGGATAAGATAAGGTTCTAATGTTATTCAGAAAATATTTCCTATAAGTCATGTGATTTGAAGCCCCACTATATAATATCTACAGTCAGTAACTGATTTAGAGCATTTACATATAGTGGTTTCAGCAATCTCTTTATAAGTAGAACAAGCTAGAATACTTGCAAAGTTTGCAGCTCCACAAGCTATGTTGTTTAAGCTTTCCCCTGTGTTCCTTCCTGGAAATTTCTCCAATAGGCTGAGCAACTGATTGTACAACTCCTTTGTCAAGTGCTGAAATCCCTAATCATGAGTTCCACCTTCAACTTCTTCACATTCTGTATGAACATTTGTAGCAGATGATGCATTCCTCCCTTTAGTGAACTTGAAATCCTGTGGAAAGCCATATATCCTATAGCAATTATCCCTGGTGTGCCCTTGCTTTTTGCAATAGTCATAGAACAATCGAGACTTAGCAGGTGGATAGATTTACTTATTTGAATTGTATGAGTTATGGGCAGCACTATTTCCTCTTTGATTGTAATTTGTCCTAAACTTGTTATTTCCAGGTCCATTTACATTATGAAGTGGACTCCATAACCAGTCTGTTGCTTGGCCTGACTTCTCTCTGCTTCTCTTCCTGAATGAGAATGGAGAATGCATGTGCTATACTGGGCAGTGGATTCATCATGAGTATATTTCCTTTCACTACTGTGTAGACTTCGTTTAAGCCTATTAGGAACTGAATCAATCTTCGATCCTGCTCAACCTTGTGCATATTGGCCTTTGCACCACAAGTACATTGACAATTGCATTGTGCATGTGCATTCAGGGTATTTAGTTCCTCCCAAAGCCTTTTCATTTTTGTGTAATAGCATGTGATGTCCAAAGCCCCTTGTCTAAGGTCATTAATTTCCTTCTGTAATTGTTATAATTTTGCTCCATTAGTTTGATCATATCTATCTTCCAGTTCTTGCCATAATTCCTTGGAATCACTAACATATTATAGACTATCAGCTATGTCCTTTGAAAGTGAGTTTAGGATCTACTATGTGACCATATCGTCGCATCGAAACCACTAATCCGCCTTAGGTACTCTTTTAAGTCTGTATAAGGCGGAGGGAATGAAGGGACCTGCAGGAGGCTGAAAAGCTGTAGTGCGCTAGCGCTAGCGAGTTAGCGCAACAACTTATGCCCATTGATCATAAGTCGTATCATCAACATTAGGTTTCTTACATTTCCCCATAATGAATCCAACCTTGTTCTTCACCGATAATGCTCTGAGAACTCCTCTTCTCCAAGATATATACCCAGTTCCATCGAAGGCAACAGGTATTAGTGTCGTTCCGGTACTCCCCGACGGGTGCATGTACAGCGGGTTGGTCGAGTCCAAATTATTGGTCGTATTCTGAGTTTCCTTATCTTCGTCCATCGATTGAGAATGAATTCTAAAAAACTAGAAGAATTAATCTCTGGATTTTAGGAAAAATCAAAAAAAATTCAAAACCCTAGCGACGAACTGTGAAGTGTAGATTTTGATTTTACAAAGCTGAAAACTGAGATTGAATGATGAGATTTGACAAAAAGTAAGAGAACGCCGATGAGAAATTCAAGTGAGCTATGATACCATGTCGGGATTGTAACTAACAGAATGAATCAACCTCCATTGAAGGAGGTTGAGCTTGAGCTCTCATCGTGAGAGGAGAAACTTTTGGACAGAAATGATATTGGGAAAAAATAGTATACTTTCCTATTCAGCTGAAGTGAGTCTTATACACGTGAGAAAAAGAAAATAAAGAAAGTAGACTATTAATTACCAAACTACCCCTGTAACTAACTCAACCACTAACCTCCTAAGTCTAGTAACTAACTAACAGCAATGTAACATAAATAACACTAACTATACTACTATACTTGACAATATTCAATAATCTCATTATCGAGTATAAATTTGTTTAATTTTTGAAACCATTTTAAGAAATAATAAAGTTGTACTGAGATTGTACTAAGAAGATGAAACGCGGGACTTGAATTACTTTAGTTGAAAGTGGAATATCCATATTTGCTTTTAAAAAAAGTAAGCTATTTTTGAACGACTGAAAGAGAAGACAAGTTAATTCTCTTAGACAAATGGAGTGGTCTTTTATCAATGAAGTACAATTCTTAAAGATTAAAGGGTTCAAATACTAGTAGAAATAAAAAAACACTGTTGTAAAGTAAAATAATAAGGTATTTGGGATTATTCATAAGATTTAAGTTATACACACTAACCGTATAAATGTAATTCTATATACTATCTTAATATTATTAGTGTATTTTATACCTTCTAGTGATCAACTTAGGAGAGCTTCATGTGATCAAGGAGTCACAATTGTTAATGGATTCCTAGCTTCTGAGCTTTATTGCTTCTAGCTTAGTTTTTCTTTTGGGAGTTATCAAACCCAAATTTACCAGATCAACTAGTTTTAGTACAACTTCATATAGTATGCTCTATAATGCAGCCATCATTTTCACTATTTACTACTAAGGGCTAATAAATTAGGGGGATTTGCGGTCGTATCATATATTTGTGCCACCTTTTAACATGTACCATATTTTTTAAAATTATTGACTTGGTAGCCATCTCACAAAAAATCCGTAATAATATGACAATTATACCCCTAAACGATCTCCTCCTCTCCTCTTAGCAACTTTATAAAAAAATTAGAAACTTGTCCAGATTCATCTTCAGAATTACATTTGCATGAAGTTGTTTCGCCTTGAAGCTAAAACTTCATGCAAATGTAGCATGAAGTTGTTTCATGTTGAAACTAAAACTTCATGCTTATATAGTATGAAGTTGTTTCACATTGAAGCTAAAACTTAATGCTAATGCATGCTGAAATTATTTATCCTGCAGTTTACAGTTTTGCCATGAATTTTATCCGAAACTTCAGTCTAAACATGCTGAAGTTATTTAGTTCATTTGCTAAAATTTCAGACTAAACATGCTGAAGTTATTTAATTCATTTGCTAAAATTTCAAACTAAACATGCTTAAGTTATTTAGTTCATTTGCTAAAACTTTAGACTAAACATGCTTAAGTTATTTAGTTCATTTGCTAAAACTTCAGACTAAATATGCTTTAGTTTTTTAGTTCATTTGCTAAAACTTCATACTAAACATGTTGAAGTTATTTAGTTCATTTGCTAAAAATTCAGACAAAACATGCTGAAGTTATTTAGTTCATTTGCTAAAAATTCAGACAAAACATGCTGAAGTTATTTAGTTCATTTGCTAAAACTTCAGACTAAACATGCTAAAAAAATTTAATTCATTTGCTAAAACTTCAGACTACACATGCTTAAGTTTTTGTCGTGCAGTATGTAATTTTCTAAAGAGTTTTTGCTAATGCATGCTGAAGTTATTTAGTTCATTTGCTAAAACTTCATACCAAAACATGCTGACGTTTTGTAACGCAGTCTACAGTTTAGTTCTGAGTTTTATCCGAAACTTCAGTCTAAACAAGCTGAAATTTTTTAGTTTATTTGCTAAAACTTCATACCAAAGCATGCTGACGTTTTGTAACGCAGTCTACAGTTTAGTTCTGAGTTTTATCCGAAACTTCAGTCTAAACAAGCTGAAATTTTTTAGTTTATTTGCTAAAACTTCAACCTAAGCATGCTTAAGTTTTTGTCCTGCAATTTGTCAATAGTCTTTTATTAAAGGGCAAAATCGTCTTTTTAAAACGCTTTTAACAAAAAAATGAGTACGGATGCAAACGGAAAAACAAAACGGTATAAGTTAAAAAGGGACGACCAAATAGGTCACCCATGCAATTTTTACAATAAATTACCAAAAAAGATTCTACAAGACATTCTACCATGATATATAAATATTATCCCCCATACCTAATGGGCACGACTACCCTGTTTGGATTTATAAAAAGTTTATTTCTCTAGCTAGACTTGGAAGCAGCTGCGGAGTACAATCAAGTTGAACTCGAGAAATACTTAAAACATGTCAAGCAATGCAAAATTGATTTAAATTCCTAAAAGAATGAAATAAATTAATAGTGGCAAAAGTATCTTCTTTTACAAAATGAGAGAGTTGCCAATTACAATCAAATTTTGAGAACTTGTCAACTACCAACATTCAACATAAACCCTGCTTCTTAAGAAACCACCTTGTTCTGCTTGTCATTGTGAGGAGGTGGGAGGCAATTCATCTTCTGGAGGTACAGATGGACCAAAATCCATATTTGGGAATACACCAGGCGGTCTTTCTCGAGGTTGAATTGACAATAATTGGGTTGAATCCCCTACTACATCTGCCCATCCATGGTGAGGTTCGGCCCTAAAATAATAAGTAAAACATGTTAGTTCAATATATAGGAACTATCCATAACATATGGTACTTCTACGAGTTCAACCTCTATACACTGACATCGTGAAAAAGTTACCCTATCCAATCACCTTTAAATGATAAACACAAGTAGCTGTACATAATATGTGGAACTGATTACTTGGAAAATAAAGCAAGCAACTTGCTAAAACACGTTAAATTACACTGCTAGAGTAAAGAAACTGTATATAAGTTAAATCCTACTTATATTAGAAGAGGTGACCATAACTTACTCGTAATAAGTTCCTTCATCCACAACGATGTCCCAACTTTCACCCGTTGTGCTCTTGCCATACTTGTGCACTTTGCTGATTCATGGAAAAACATTATTTTTCCTTTAAGTTTCTAAAATGTAAAAAGTGCCATGGAAATGGACATGCAACAGGTAAACTGTAATTTGATTTACTGAACAGAAGTTTAAATTCGTAATTGCGACATACCCGTTACCAAAGTGCTCCTCTCCCCATGTCCTTGACCATCCTGGAAAATTAGGAAAATTAATAATAAGAAAAGATTTGGATGACTAGTTACCTTGAAACTCAAAATAAGAAATACATATTACATGACCTTATATCAGCTCTTCCAAATATTTGCAAAATATTCCATTATAGCTTAACAATTGCTAGTACATGAAATTAAGCTAGTTACGTCATAAAAGTTCTTGTATTTCTTATTCTTAGATCTTTATTTCTATTTGTTGTGTCGTTCGCTTCTGTTATCTTATTACCTAGGTGTTATTATTTGTTGCTTCCTTTTCCCTGTCACTTGAGCCAAGGGTCTATCGGAAATAGCCTAGGGGTAAGGTATGCGTACACATCATCCTTCCTAGACCCCACTTGTGGGATTATACTGGGTCTTTTTGTTGTTGTTGTTATTGTTGTAGTAGTTACTTCGTAAAAGATTATTACGCATTCAGAAAATACCAACTTCATTATGTAGCTGCAGTTGTTTTTAGCTGCAACATGTAGATTCAGACCCTATAATTGCTTACTTATACATCTTTCTATTATTTACCTATAATTCCCAAAACATATTTCTTCCTACAAGAGGGTGATGTATACAGAGTTGTAAATGAGTAAACTAATTACTGTTTCTTCTATGACAGCTGGGAAAGTTCTTTTTGCAGCTTAACTTTCGCCAGGAAAATTTTTTGGTAATTGGTTTTTATTTGTTTTAGCACCTAAGTCCTTTTGGAAGGTAAAGTTGTAATTCAAATGAACAAAAGGCAGACATACTTTCACAGCTGGGTGACACGTGCCAAGTCTCCCCTTGTCGTGAACCAATGCCAGCAAAAAATTTCTCTTCCCATTTGTCTCCCCATTTTGTTCCAAGCTCAGTTTCCGCCCACTTGTCTGTCCTGAGAAAAGGAGCATGGAACTATAAGCAACATAAACCAACTTGTCATTAGCAACTCAAGATTGCTAAGGAGGTTTTAACAAACTTTTTCACCCTTCACAAAGCTAATTGTTTACTAATTTCTGCTATCATCAAGGATAATTCAGGAAAAGGAGAATAAGACCAGACTTTTGACAAACCTCACTTTGAGCTATTTTGTCTAACATCGGCTGAGTTTCAATTATATGAAAGTCCAATTCTAGAGGGCGCATCAGTGGGAACTGGGGACTTATAAGGATGACCATAATGTTAAGGATTACCTCACCGTCAAATACTGGAACTTGATATTATTTCCAATAACAAATGCAGTAGCAAAATCAAAGTCCAACATAGAGCACGCCTATCCCAGGCACTTATGACCAGTTGCAGTTCTAGTTTACTACTATGTTTCTTGAAGGACAAAGTTAAAATATTTGTGCTTGCCCATGTGACATAGGATGCATAAAACCAGTTAAAGGCAAAATTGGTCGTAGGACATCAAACATGCCAGCAGTTTAGCAGTAAATCACTGTTAGTACTTATGCTTTCAGCAAAACTCAATTGCATTAACCAGGCAGGAGTCTGGTTTTGAAATGCACACAAGAATAGAATAAAGTGTGTACCATTTAAGAACAGACCCTCTCCCGTCATAATGCTCCCCCCATTTCTCCCACCAAGACTGTTCATTTAATCTGCCATACTTGTGGGCCCCTTTCTCTGTCCAACCCTTAGCATCATATTTTTCCCACCTGCATATAAAAAATAACATGCTTAATGATTGTATTTGCAGGTAATTCCACTGTGCATGACCAGGTAAAACAAATGTTCCCCTCAAAATCTCTTACCAATTCTCATACCACCCAGCATTCTCTGTGCCTGATTTTGCTTGTTTTTGTGCACTCCTTTCTATCCTAGCAAGATTACTGCAGATTGAAAATGCAGCATAACACAGTTTGAATAATTTTCTCAGAGTAATAAAGCAGTACTCGGCAGCTTATAAGATAACAGAATCGAAGATAAAACATGTATAATAACCTCCATTCATCTTGGTGAAGAACTTCCCGCCATGTTTCCCACCATGAGTCCCCTTCAGCATTTTTCCCAGATTTCTCCACACCTGCCAATTATCCAAAAAGATAACCTATTAATGTTTCATGAAGTGCAGAAATAAAAGAAGAAAGTGGAATAACTAAAAACAGTTTTAAGATGAAAAAATTAGCCAAATGCAGCCACATATTACATAGTTCAAAGAAAAAAGAAAAAAGCCATACCTAGTTCTTTTTACATAGTTCAAAGAAAAAAGAAAAAAGCCATACCTAGTTCTTTGTATCCGGTCCAATCACTTTTCTCCCACCACTGTCAAGGAGATCAACAAATCCAATTAAATGCATCCACCTGGGATGGTACTTGACAAGGTTATAAAATAATGTCTAAACTGGAACTCAATATCCAAACAACAATGATGAACGACAACCCCAATTTGCTTATCCTCTTAGACACTCCACGAACTAGGCTTGCATTCAAAGTAATTTTTCAGCGGAGGTGTGAAAGATAATTCCAGTATTTTTTACCAAGGGCACTTTATCAATCAGAACTATTATTGGCCAACAAAAGAACTAGTTTACTGTAATAAGCCACAACCAATACTCTAAGATATATGCCACTAGGACTTATCCCTGAGCTCAATAAATGATTATATACAAGTATCCCCTGGCTCTAACCAAAAATGTGAACTGCATCCATGTTCAAGAAAGATAGTTAATTTTCTGATAGCTAAACATTCCCCAAATTCCAGGCGTTTTTTATATGTAGCTCCAGGCACTTATGACTGGTTCGATACTCCACAAGCCCTAACCATAGGAAAAAACAAGCAACCAAATCTAGCAAAGAAAATTAATTTTCTGTGGTGACTAACGGGAAAAAACTTCATGTGGTTCTTAATTAAAAAAACCTCTACTTCTCTTACTTGTGCCATCAATGTGGTTAAGAGCATTATAGTTCTGTGTTCAGATTTTCACTTCAGTTAAGTACCTGCAATTTGTTCTTGGATTCTTTTTAAAATAAAAAATGTTATGAGCAGAAATGACAATAAACTAATATAAAGAGTATGAAACCTTTCAAAAGGTTTAGTCCATCAATCACCATTTTCCTGATCTTATTTTTCTTAAAGTAAAACACGGGGAAAAAATTGATTCCATGACTCAGAAATCAAAGAAGATAAAGTTGTCGTATATATTACTAAGCATTACTCTTAATGCATAACAACTCATCAAGTTAAATGCTTTCAAATACTTGAGCCCTTTTGTGCACGAGGCACTAAAACTAGAAGGATCTTGGAATAATATTCTTGAGAGTACATCAGGTAATTCATTTATGCAAAAATGTGATATGTCAGTACTCGAAAAAAACAACACAACTGTACACTGATCACAAGATTAAAAACACATGTACCGTTTCTTTCCATTCTAAGGTACCATCATTGCTCTGACCGCCCATCCTTGTCCAACGGCATCGGTATCCATTGTCACCAAGGTCTTCTCCACTCTCTCGATACCATGTACTGCCATCTTCATTTTTCCCAGTTTCATTGACATTATCATTTAAAAGACTGATGCCCCAGTCTTTCTCATTAGCAATACCAGTGTCTATAGAAAGGAAAAATAATCAGGAAATTTATCATCAGATACCACCAAGACCCTAAGACCCTTACATAGGTAGAATGCAACGAGGGTAACTGTTAATATCATCTGAAAAGAGAAAGATTCTTATAAAGCCAGGAAGGAAGGAACCACAAGTACCTCGCTTTGGTGGAGAGTCACGGGACTGAGGGCCTGAATTTCTTGGGATACAACGTGAAAAGAATTTTTCCGGCTTTGAAACAAATCTAGACCTGCATAAGAAATGTTCATGAAAAACAAAAACTTTTCAATAAAAACAAACACCACTTGCAGTCAATCGAAAAGGAGGCACAAAGGGGAAACGGTGAGTCAGTAACTATGAAGATATTCTAGGATACAGGAAATTCAAAGACTAATCTGGAATTTCACATCAAGATTATCAAGCCTACAATGAATGGCTCGTTAATGACCCTTCAGCAAAATTTATCAACTTTCTATGTAAGACTATTTAGTAGTGCAGACCAAGCGGTGATATCAACAAAATGCCGAAAATTTTAACAATAGGATACTTCTTTCTTCTCCATACCTTAACGATGGGGCAGAGAACAATCCAAATAAACAGTGAAATTTATTGTATGAAGTGAAACAAGCAGGCGTTACAAATTGCTAAGATATTCCATTGGTAAAACTCACACTTTTTGAGGCAATAAGTTATGTGGTAGAAAAGATCACGAGACCCAACTTGCAAAGTTCTGCCTTTGAAGAAAAAAAGAAAAATCTAATCTTATACAGATTCGTACCAAGATTGCTGAAAACCTCATATTTGAGAGGGTTCATGTGTTAGTGATTATATACATAAAATTTCTCGTTTGTGTTGAAATGGGGAAGAGCAAAACATACAAATATCTACACCGTATAAATGGCAGAAAGAGAATCTTTTCCTTTTGTTTTCACTTAGGCAAATTTTAACGTCTATCCCAAACAAACCCATGTGATCCCTTATCAGCTTCAGCCAGATAACAGGTAAAGTTAATTTCATTTTTTTGATAAGGAACATGTAAAGTTAATTTCTTTCAAAAATATATATATCACATTGCTTTTTAAAAAGCAGAATATCCTAGAAACTAATAAAGGTTGTGACTTTAGCCCTTATAACAATAATAATAAATCACTGACTAGTCTAACCAACCTTGAGGAAATGCAGTTGAAGCATATACTAAATCCTACCCAAATAGAATTCTTTACTTCAAAGATGACATTGTTCAAAACCTTTGCAAGGGTTATAGCACTAACCTATTAAAGAGCTCAAAGAAAATCTCAATATATGTTCAACAACAAAACAATATGAACCACCCATTTTGCCCCGTTTCATTCGATTACTCATTCAGGCTTCTTTAAGTTATTACTTCGACGAAATTTAGTTTTTCTTCTATAAATTCAACTCTCTATTTTTACTTACTGTTTGTAACAAATTGATATCCAAGCTACCAAACAATAAAGAATGATCAGAAAAAATGTAACATAAAAATTACATTATCCCAAAAAAGGACACGTTTTTATAATATTTAAAAATAATTTAACTTTAAATTTCTCATTTTACAATTAATGAGATGATTTATAGCCATAAAAATATTTCTATCATGTTATAGACAACAAATTACAAAAGTCTTTCTTTCTTAAACAGTTCTCAATCAAACAATTTCACATCAATTTATAAAGAGTGACTTACTGAGGAGAAGGAAAGGGCATAGAAGAAGAAGCTTGAATCCTCATATAATTAGCACTGATCTTCTTAGCATCAAACCTCCAATCCTCACCTCCTCCACTTTTATCAACACCATTCCCTGAATTAATTGGCATTGCTGAATCTGAACAACAACATTTTATATTACTAATTAACTTCCTCTTCTTCCTTCGGAACTCCACAAACCCCCCATTATTACGGCAATAATAATAAGCAGAGGGTGATACATCAAGCTTAGCCCCTACGGGCGCTGTGAATCCTCTAGAAGAAGCCGCCATTATTATTGTTCAGGAAAATGCCATTGGAATTAGTAGAGAATGTGTTGATTAAGCCCTAGAAATTGAGGTTTTTAGGTTGGTGGAGAATTGGAAGTGAGAATGGGAATTGGAAGAGAGAAATTAGGAGAATTTTTTGAGTACTTATAGAGAAATATTTTTGACGGTAAAGAGGACCAAAAAGTAAGAATGGATAAAAAAAAGGGATTATCTAGAAAAATATTTTAAGCTTTTAGTGTGGGGTCGCTGCGAATTTGCGATTGGGTCCAGTGTCTTGTGATTTGTATCCATTTTGCCACACTGGATTTGCCACGTGTCACTTAGTGAATCAGCTTTCTTGGACTCTCTCTTTGCCAATCTCCCATTGCAAAAATCACAAATGGCAAATAAAAATATTTTTTATCTCTAACCCGTGTTTCATACTCGTATTGAGTTTTGATAAATCCAGAGTCGCATACTTTATGTAAGGTCGATTAAAGGGGAAAACGTTCTTTATAAAAAGAATTATTTCAAAATTTGAACGAGACACATCTGATTAAGGATAGAGAGATTTTATAGGTTTATCACAATTTTGATGGTGATATATTATTATGATTTAACAATACTAATTGTTTACCCGAAAAATGGATAGAGTTGAATTTATACGTAGTTCCAAGGATATGTGGCGTAACTTAATACAAATTGTAAGGATAAATAGAAATATAAATATGGATTGCAAAGAATGCGAAATAGATAAGGTTGTAAGGAACAATGAATCTTAGGACTACTCAACCAACAGGATCAATTTAAGAAATCTGAAAGAAAGATTCTTTACTGTGAAAGAATATAGCATTTTTGTTACAATGTAAGCCTAAAAAAACTTGCCCTTTCATAAATGATAACCATTCCCTTTATAATAGAGGGATCTTGCTCTAAGCATAATAAAAAATACTCAGTGGGAGTCTCATGATAAATCAGCTTTTTCACAATTTCTGCCAAGATTCTCGCTAGTGGGATTGCAACGGCTTTTGTCTGTGAGCTCGATCTTGCCTTAAGCCTTCGATCTTGGTTTGAGCTCGATTCGGATTCGAGCTCTGGATGTTGGTTCAAGCTCGATTCTGACTCGAGCTATAGAATTGATTCGGGGTTAGTGATGGTTGGTCTCTGGATCATAAATATTATAGCTTCATTATGCATCATAGTTTGATTTGGACTAGAGCTCGAAAATGATGTCCAACTCGACATGGATCAGCCCCTCGGGTTCGAGGCTCGTTTGTTCCATCTTTGGAGTCTCAGTTTGATCGACCATAGTTCGAACTCAATCGGATATGCGAAGGCCGAAATGTATTTCGACCGTATACAGATAATCCCCTCGTTTTTAGGAAGAATGTGATGATAAACGATATGATTTTTTAACGGCTCGATCGGATTATAACCTGACGTCCTCATCGGGATCGATCATGACGCATGTGATACCTGTCCCGTCGGTTTAGTCTTTCAAGGCATTTAATGTATGTCAGACGGTGGTCGGCCACTGCTGGTACTGAACCGCCCTTGCTTAAGCCTATAAATAACCCTTCCTCTTACCATTCAACACTTTTGCATCTTCAATCTTCCAAACTTCCCAATTCCCTTTTCGTATTTTCTGATTTACCTGCAAGTCTGTGATTTCCCAAAAGCCCCTCTTCAATTCTACCAAATCTTTGCCACTTTCTTCTATTCCTCACTTTTGAATTTCGAAAATGGCGAAAACATCACAAACCATTCCTCAGAAAGAGAAAGCTTCATCTTCACAGTGTGTCGCCGATAAGACATCGGCAGAACCACGACCTGAGGAGTGTGTTCCCGGGGCGTGTGTTCTCACTTTAGATTTTAAGGTCGATAAAAGTTCATCGGTACCTAGCCAGTGTGAGCCGGTATTGAGGTACATGTATTCGATAATCGAGAAGCACCTCAAACGGCTAAAGAAGGATTGCAATTGGGGTGAAAAAGAAATAATAATTCCTATCCCTGACAAAGATATCACTTCTTATGTGAAAGGGTTTTTGAATGTATATACTTACCCTTTCACTTTAGGTCCCCTCAATTCCGTTATTATAGACTTCTGTCATCAATACCAGGTAACCCTAAGCCAGGTACATCATTCTTTGTGGGGGATCATTATCCTGATCCGATATTTGGTGAGCAAAATCGAGGGGATGTCGTTCACCCTCGACCATCTTATCCGATTGTACCGTCCTCGACTTTTTTGAGGAGGGTTAATAAAACTTCAGCATCGGGCTACCAAGGCTCTTTTCTCGAGCATTAACGAGGAGAGGGATCGTGGTTGGATGGGCAGGTTCGTTCGAGTGAGGACTTCGAACCAGATTCCGGCTGAAAAGATGCCCTTTTCTGAGGAGTGGAATATGAAACGTAAGTGTGATCCTCCTATTACTTTTACTTTTTTTCAATTTTTTTTCTCATCGACACTCTCCCTTTTGTGATGTAGCGGTTCCTTGGATGCTCGGAGCAGTTCTCGATCTCAAGAACTGTACACGAGCTCTTGTTTCGACCTCCACATACGCCAAGCGCTCATGGCGTGATTTGTCAAAGGGTCGGTGGGAGGCGAAAAATTATGGTAAGCCCCTTTCTCGTACTCTTTGATAGTTTGAATAAGGTGGTTTTCAAGTATTTTATTAAGATTTTCCATATGCAGGTTTGGGTAAAGACGCGATTTTTAGGCCTTTGCCCAACGAGGAAGAAATCTTGGCCTCTGTCCCAAAATCGGTGAAGGGAAATAAAAGGAAAAGAGCCCCCGTTCCCGAAGACCCAAAATCGAAGAAGAGGGCGGCTCGTTAGCCGAATAAGAATGTCATTCCTTTGACCGTGGAATCAGTTCTGCGTCTAAGGGATGAAGAAGAAGAAGAAGAAGAAGAAGAAGAAGAAGAAGAAGAAGAAGAAGAAGAAGAAGAAAATGATGGGTCAGCGCTGGCAGCCTGAACGAAAAGAATCACTGATGCCCCAACGGCAGCTGGATCGATGATGCTCCATGAGGCTCTGCCTCGAACTGAGAATATACCGGAGAAAGATTTGGGTAGAGTCCCCGAATTATCGGAGATTGAAGACGCATCTCATCGGAGCCAACAGGCAGGGGATATGACCGAAGGGGCCCTCGAATCCCTTCGAACCGAAGAGAATGCTCCAGGTGATTCATTTGGGGCAGCAGCAATCGAAGATTCGCCTACCTTTCCCGTTTTTTCTGCTGGGGTGATTCGGGATGCCCAAGCTCTCGGGGCCCTCGATCTAGACAGGCCTCACGATGGAGAGGATCCCTTTCGTGACCTGTTTATCGGTATCGAGGATGTTGCCGGTACTGGTGATGAATCAGATCTTTTTCACGGGGTGCGACAGGCTTTGAATCAGGTAAGCTTTTAAAATTATCTTGCCGGTACTACCTTTATGTTTACTTTTCGTTAACTTTGTTTCTTGTTTCTTTGTAGATAGCGGCAGTTCATCGAGAAGCATGTTCTCGGTCTCAAAACGAGATGTGTCGATACGAGGCCGACCTTCAACGGGTTACTGATGAGAGGAACTCCCTAAGACTTCTCTTAGGGAAGAGGAGATAAAAGACCTCCGAGCCGAGTTGGCCAAGGCTTACCGAGATCAGACTGATTTGTCTGAGCAGGTAATGATACTTTTGAAAGCCTATGGGCTTGATACTGGAATGATGGCTAACTTTTCGATCTCACAGCTGCAGCAAAAAATCGAGATGATCGGGAAGCTTTGTGAGGAGGTCGACGTAATAAAAATGGAGTCTTTGCAGTGGAAAGAAGGTATGGACCGTTTTGCTGCAGTAAAAGAAACTGCTCGAGCCCAGTTATCATCGGCCGAAACCCAAATTCAGAAAATGAAGGGAAAGGGCTTGGTTCAAGCAAGTAGAATAGAGGAGCTTGAGGCTCGGTTGGCCTCTGTACTTGCCAAGGCTGAAACTAATGCCGAAAAGGCAAAGGCCGATGCGGATGCACTCGTGGCCATCTATCGGGCCGATGTTGAAGCTACCCAGGTCCAAGCAAGAGAGGTAACCGAGACTGTCGATATTCAAGCACATAGGGTTGTCGAACTAGCTAAATGTCGATCCCGAAGGGAAACCCTCGAGGAGCTCCAGGCTGGTGGTTTCGATCTCGCTGAAGAAATAAAAAGGGCCAAAGAGCTCGAAGCCGATGCTGAAGCTCTGGCTTTCGATAACGATGATGATGATAATGATGGGATCAAGAGCGGATCCGAGAACGGGGGGGAGCCTGATAAAGAAGAGACTGCTCCTGAGGATGACCAAGAAGTTTAGTCCTTAGTTTTTACGTTGTAATCAACCATGTAGATAATTTTGTATATTGATAAATCTGCTGACTTGCTTCTGTTTCGTGAAGATTTTTATTCACGCCTTTATGAATGTTTTCACAAGGATCTAAACAACTTAATCAAATTTGGACTTCGTAGTCTCTATGATCGATCGAGTATTTTTTCAGATTTGAAGTGATGTAGCCCTTAGGCTTACTAGTTGAGTTAATGATTCGAACTTGAAGAAATATAGCCCGTAGGCGTAAAGGTCGAGTGAGTGCTTGCTCGAACTCGAAATGAAAGTAGTCTGTAGGATTATTAGTCGAGTGAATGATTCGAACTCAAAGTAATGTAGCCCGTAGGCGTAAAGGTCGAGTGAGTGCTTGCTCGAACTCGAAATAAACGCAGCCCATAGGCTTAGTCATCGAGTGAATGATTCAAACTCGAAGTAATATAGCCCGTAGGCGTAAAGGTCGAGTGAGTACTTGCTCGAACTCAAAATAAAAGTAGCCCGTAGGCTTAGTCGTCGAATGAATGATTCGAACTCGAAGTAATGTAGCTCGTAGGCATAAAGGTCAAGTGAGTGCTTGCTCGAACTAGAAATAAAAGTAGCCCGTAGGCTTAGTCGTCGAATGAATGATTAGAACTCGAAGTAATGTAGCTCGTAGGCATAAAGGTCAAGTGAGTGCTTGCTCGAACTAGAAATAAAAGTAGCCCGTAGGCTTAGTCGTCGAGTGAATGATTCGAACTCAAAGTAATGTAGCCTGTAGGCCTAAAGATCGAGTGAGTGCTTGCTCGAACTCGAAATAAAAGTAGCCCATAGGCTTAGTTATC